CCTCCAGCCTCTTCCTGAGAGAGAGTCCTCGCTGCTCTGGCCTCTAAGGTTGTGAGTCGAAATCACATACTAATGTAATTGATGCTCCTTCCTTTGTGGGGAGTCCCTTTTTGTTGCTTCAAAATTCTCTAGACGTTTACAGATGGATTGTGCCCAGCCAGACTGTGGCAGTGCACCACCCTCCTGTGGCCTGCTGACACCCAGATGAGAGCTTCCAGTGTCAGGCCAGAGCCCAGGAATGGGGCCTGAGGCTCCCTGGGAGCAGTCTCCAGGCTGGAGAGTCTGTTCTAGGCAATGTTGCAACACTGAGAACCAGGCTGTTGGTGCTGGGCTGTGCCAGTCAGGAGGATTCCATGGGTTGCATGAGGCACACCGCGCATCAAAGCCTAGTGAGAAACATCTGATGTTGACCAGTGGACATTGGTCAACTGCCCAGGGATATTGTGAATTTCTATACTGTTCTGCCATGTTGCACATAGCACCTAAGATGGGTGTGACCTTCCAGGATGCCAATCAATCTGCCCACTGCCAGTCATCCCACAGCCCTTGAAACCTGATCCCCGCCTTTGCTGTGTCCCCTTAAATAAACCACCAGAGCCATCTTCCTTCTCTAGTTGCAGCCCTCATGTGGACTAGATCTGTCAGGGGCTCTGCTTTGGAAATACGTTCCTGACTCCTTTTCTTTGTTATTCACTAATTAATTCAGGCTTTAGGTTTTCCGATGGCTAACACCATCCTCAGCAAGAAGATTAACCTCCATTGACATGTGTCTGGGAATAGTGTGACCAGTCTGTTCCTGTGGCTGTGCTCAGAGCATGGGTGGTGTCGTGGGTGTGGAAAGAGCATGTATATGTTTGTGTGTGAGTGTGAGTTCTAGTGTGCAGTGAGAGGGGAGAGGAACCAGCGCTGCTGTAGTTTGCGTAAGGGTTGCGTGTCCCCCAAAGTGTCATCTGTTAAAATTCTGTTCCTGTTTAAGAACTAAAACGGAATCCGACCACAGGGCTTAAAGTGGAACTTTGGAGAGTCATCTGCCTTAGGTAAGCCCCTGACAGGCAGCCCAGGGATTGAATCCTGGGGGCTTTGTCAGAGGGAGATCAGTGGCCCAGTCTTCCTGACTCTCTCCACGTGGGTCACTGGGACTGGGCCAGAGGAACCCACCACCCGCAGTGAGGCCTGGAACCTCTAGAACCATAAACCACAGCCAGCCTCTTCCTTTCTAAGGTGACCTGCCCTATTTCATTCCAGCAGCTGGGAATTGTCTAATCCCCGTGGAGAACCTCGTTCCCCTGGAGAGCTTGGTCCACCTGTGCTCCTGTCCCGTGGTCCTCTGATCACCATGACCTCATGGAGGACCCAGGCTGGTGTGCATGGCAAAGGTGAGTTGAAGGCCCTGTGGAGAGGGAGGGGAGGCAAGGAAGGAGGGGCAGTGCTCAGGGGAGGCGTGGCCACGTCAGGGAGGGGGCCCTGTGAGGAGTGGAGGGCAGCTCAAGGCACACCTTGGTGCTGTGATGAGCCTGGGCCTCCTTCAG